ACCGATGCTCTTCTTCCTCTGGGCCCCACAGGATGTTCCTGTCCATCCTGGGAGGAGGTTGCAGGGCCCTGCCGGGATGGGCAGCACCTCTCTGGGAGCCCTACTGGTATGGCTCCCCATGTCCCCAGCCAAGCAGAGCTCATACCTGGCCTGGAACGTGCTCTGGGTCTGCACATTGGACCTTCCAAGCCTTTGCCGGCTCTGACAGGCTTACAGCCCTGCAGCAGGGCCCCGCTCATGCACTGATGCAGTTGGGACCACTGTTTCCTGGAGGGGGGCATCCCCATGTCATAGGGACTGGCCTTCCCACCAGTGACTGAGGCTGCCTTCCTCGTCCAAACTCCCTTGCTGTCTCTGGCTGTGAGCAGCCAGCACTGTGTGAACTTGGCCTTGCCCAGGCAAGCCGTGAGCGGGCAGGCAGGCAGAAGTCCCCCCTGCACCAGTGGGGGCATTGAGCACCAGCTGGGCTCTGGCTGCACGGAGCAGAGGGAGGCAGCAGGGTCCTTGTGGTCTGTGGGTGGGCCTGTGGCTTGTGCTGAGCTGTAGCTGCTGACCTGCCTCTACATCCTGCTAGTGAAGAGCAGCTCTTGAGCAGGGTATGAGGTGACAGTCCTCAGTCGCTTCCCCCAGGGGCTGCTCTGCTCATTCCCTGTGGGGACAAGCCTCCCTCTGAGTGCCTGGTTTGGAGGGCTTGGTTCATAGGATCCCAGAGCTGTGGGGCTGGCAGGGAGCTCCACAGGTCACATCTAGTCCAAGCCCCGTCCAAACCAGCCCGGACAGACCCTGTCTCTGACCTCTGAGCAACACGACAGTCACCCCTGCAGAGGCAGTTTAGGTTGCTGCCCTGTTTCTGGGCTGGGTGGTCCCATACGTACTGTATTAGCCCACTGATACAGTGCAGGGGGCTGTGGTCTGGGGTGCAAACTTGTGGCACATCTGCAGTTGTGCTGTCCATCTGGGGTGGCCCACAGTGAGGGGCTACAGCACCAGGGGGTTTATTGCTGGGTTACGGGTTGCGATACCTCCACGCTGGCAGGCCGGGAGCCCTGTGGACCAGCAGCCGTCTTGTCCTCAGGCTGCTGCTTCCCTGTGAGGGAGGAGCCTGGGCTCTGCAGGGCCTCTCCTGGATCAAAGTCCAGCACGTGGGTGTGGGCGGCTTTGGAGTGACGCTGCCCTAAGGGCTGGGTGCAGCCTGCATGACTGGGGCCCTGGCACTGAAGCGATGCTGAGAAGCCCAGGGTTTCAGGCTGACTTGGGTTTATTCTCCCAGCTGATGATGGACACATGGTAGAGCGGTGAAAGGGCAGAGCCAGTGGTGCAGGCCTCCTCCCACCCCTTTTGAACCCTGCCCTAAATGGGTTGTCTGGGCTCGGGGGGTCAAACGGGGCTGGACATGACCCCAGCCCCCCTTCAGCCCCGGGTGCTGCTGCCGATGGGAGGGGTTCAGGGTTTAATGCTCTCATTGTTGGAGTTTGCTGCCACTCACCTCAGCTGTCCAGAGCTCCCCCAGGCACGGAGGCTTCCACTCCGAGATCTGCCGTGGCTCCTCTGCCCCGCGCTCCCTTGGGACTGGAGCTGGCTGTGGCTAACGTGCTGCCAGGAGGCCAGTGAGACTGGGGGCTCTTTCCTGTCTCACTTGCTGGGGAATGTGTTCGCCAAAGGACTCCTCCTGCGTGGGACAGGTGTCGTGGACGCCTTCCTGCTGTATTCCTATGGACAGCTCCTCACTGTCCTGGTTCCTCCTGCTAGCACAAGCTGGGCACCCAGCACCTTGTTTCTGATCCCACGTAGCTCAGCTACCCTGGGTAATCTACTCTTCCACCTTTGGTTCCCTCTTCGGCCTGGGCTCTTGGTACAGGTGACTCCCCGGCGTTCCTCTTCCTCCTTGCCACAGCCTGACTTCTGCCTGCCCCCGTGCATGTCTGCTTCGCTGGGAGAAGGTGCGTGTGGCTTTCTTGTCCTTTCACATGTGCTGAGAGGCTGGTGAAGGTGGGCAGTGTCCCCTGCATGCGGGCTGGCTGGGTGGGTAGAGACCACGTGGGAGCTTATAGGTTTGTAGGTTCATAGCTGTAGGATTGGAAGGGACCTGAGCAGATTATCAAGTCTGACCCCCTCCCCTGGGCAGGAATGAATACTGGGCTTATATGACCCCTGGTAAGTTTAAGCTCATATGACCCCAGCTAGGTAATTATCCAGCCTCCTTTTAAAGACCCCCAAGGTAGGAGCCAGCACCCCTTCCCTTGAAAGCTGCTTCCAGATCTTAGCCTCCCTGACTGTGAAGTAGCGCCTCCTGATGTCTAGTCTGAATCTACTCTCAGTCTCTTGTAGCTGTTATTCCTTGTTACTCTGGGAGGTACTCGGGGGAACAGGGTCTCACCCATTCCCCTCTGGTCCCGCCTGGCAAGTTTATAGACGGCCATTAGATCCCCTCTCAGCCTTCTCTTGTGGAGGCTGAACAGGTTCAGGTCCTGTAGCCTCTCCTCGTAGGGCCTGCCCTGCTGCCCCCTGACCATGCGAGTGGCCTCCTCTGGACCCTCTCCATGTTGGCCACATCTGTCCTGAAGTGCGGCACCCAGAACTGGACGCAGTACTCCAGCTGCGGCCTGACCAGTGTTGCATAGAGAGGGAGGATCACCTCCTTGGACCTGCTTGTGTTGCATCTGTGGATGCAGGACAAGGTGCAGTTGGCCTTACTGACTGCGGCCTCACATTGGCGGGCCCTGTTTGTTTTGGAATCGATAGTGACTCCAGGATCTCTTTCTGCCACCGTGCTTTCAAGAAGGGAGTTCCCCAGCCTATATGTATGCTGCTGGTTCTTACTGCCCAAGTACAGTACCCTGCACTTGTCACTATTGAATCCCATCCTATTCACATTCACCCACCCCTATATCCTGTCCAGGTCCAGGCACACCGACAGAGTGCTTGGTGTTTGCTGTCATTGCTGCTGCCCTGGGATGGCTGGGGCTCTGCTGGGCTGGTGACTATCTTGGTCAGTACAGGGTGAAACACGTTTCCCTGGGGCGTGGTGCCCTTGCTGGGGGTTGTCTGTGTGGTTTGGTGGCTCCATTGGCTGGCAAGGGGTGAGAACACCTCATTGTAGAGCTCTCCCAGCTCTCTCCCTGCCCGTGCTCCTCTGGTCCCAGTGTCTGGCTTTCACACCCCGCTCTGGACTAGCCCTAGTATTTTGCTGTCCTGGCCCCATGATGGGACTGCACCTTCTGCTCTCATAGCAGCAGACCAGGGCCTTGCCAGGGGCTTAACACGTGTAGCCCTCACGTTTCCATCCCCCTGCTTTGACTGGTCCCTGCCATGGCTTGGGGCTGCCAGCAGCGCCCGGTCTGTGAGCTGCTCTTGCTGGCGTGTCTGTCTGCATCTCAGGCTGAACTTCTGCACTGGAACAACCTCTCCCCTTCTGAAGGAGGCTTCACTTTAAGGTTTGAGACCTCAGAGGCATTGCTGGTGACATGAGAGGTACCTGGGGCTGGCTGGTCATGGGCCTGGCTCTGGGGAGCTGTGAGCTGTGAGTCCCACACTGTGCTCTTCGGGGCCATGGGAAGCGGGTCTGGTCTGCAGCTGGCCCAGGGCCATGCGTGGCCTAGCTTGTGCAGTTGAGCTGGACAGGAAGGGGCGCATGCTGGTGTGTGGAGGTCTGTGGCAGGGGACAGTGGGGTCTGTGTGGGATGCTGGCCTGGAGTGATGAGTAGACCACTGACTCCTGTGCAGACGCAGCTCTGGGCTAGGAGGGGAGGGAGGCAGTGATGCTGAGAATTGAGCAATGGTTTGCGAGCTGGCCATCTAGCAAGAGGCCAGACCTGCCCAGGCCCAAATCACAGGGTTGGCAGGAACCGTCTAGTCCAGTGTCCTGCACAGATGTAGGACAAGCTGTTCCCAGACAAGGCTGGAGTGATGCTCGCCCAGCCTCCTCATGAAACCCCCCCAGTAGGAGCAGCACCCCTGGCGTCCCCAGTCTCTGTCCCACTGTCTGCTGCTCCAACAGTTCTCAGCCTCTTTTCCCAGAGATTTAATCCAAGTCTGCTGTGCTGCAGTTCAAACACATCACAGCAAAGGAGTGCTGTGGTTCTTCTTCTTCATGGCAGCCTGTGAACACTGCCGTCACGTCTCCCTTTCATCTCTTTTGCCAGACTAAATGTCCCAGGTCCTCTCAATCCCTACTTGTGGGCTGTGTCCCAGCCCCTCATCACTGCTTTTGTAAACTGTGAAGCCCAAACCTGCACCCAGTGCTCCAGCTAAAGCAGAGCCGCTCTGGGCCGAGTGGCACGCAGTTCCCCAGTCCGTGCAGCCCCCAAATTACATTCGCTTTTTTTTGTGACTGCCTCCCAGGGCTGAGTCTGATCCACTAAGCCCCAGATCCTTCTCAGCAGGGCTGCTTCCCAGCCAGTTCATTCGCACTTTGTCGGTGTGCCTGGTTGTTCTTCACTTTTGTGCAGCACCTCACACCTGCATGGACTGAATTCCATTCCCCTGCCTGGCACCTAGTTCTCCAACGTATCCGGGGCCTGCTGTGTTTACTCTACCCTTGCGTCAAGTCATTAATCAAGTTAACCGCACCGGACCCAGGAGAGACCTGTGGAACCCGTGGGACACCTCCTGCCGTTCCCTCTTACAGTTATTTTCGGCTTGTGGCTAATGCAGTTGGTTATGGATCCACCCAACAGTAACTCTGATAACAGGCTCAGTCTGCAGCACTCTTGCCGCCTGGTCCACCCTTGCTGTGTTCGCTTATCAAATCACCTGTCCAGCACCCACCCTGGTCTCGGCAGCATGCACGTGTGCCGGATGTGCCGATCGCCTCCCTCCCTGGCCGCGCGCTCTCAGGGTGGCTGATTCCCAGCTGGGTGGGGCCACAAGCAGCTCCTCTGTCTGCCCCTGCCAGGATGGCTGGTGGCTGGGTCAGCTGGACCATCCACTCGGCCCTCCATGTGGCTTAGGCTGGAGAGGGTCCCTGTAATGCTCACTTCGAGCCCGTGGCACCTGGGTGAGCAAACAGTTCTGCAAGGAGCCCCCATGCTTGGCTTGAAAACTGAAAGGCCTGTCATGGGGCTCCCCACACTGTCCAGCTTGTACCTTATTTCCAGTTTAGCTTTGGCTTCTGGCTTTTGGCTAGTGGCTGTTGGCTGTCTCCTGGCACTGGAGAGTGGGTCCCCACAGTGCGGGACAGGACAGTGGGCCAAGATCAGGACTCATGCAGTATCTGCAGGTGCAGGAGGGCAGAGAACGCCAATGAGAGCTCCCTCCTCAGCGCCTGTGGACAGGCCCTGCTTGGGGGTCCCCCCAGGACCACCCCTCGCCAGGCACTTGGGCTGTGCTGGACAGGGGAGTAGAGCTGAGCTAGTGGCCTCCTGTCCTGCCCTGCCAGGCTTTGGCAGTAGTGCAGCTGCAGGTCAGAGCGGCTCCACAGGCCATGGGGTCTCCAAGGGGTAGCAGGGACCAGGGGGCTAAAGGACCCTCCCAGATATGCAGAAATTTGGGGAGAGGGGTTTGGCCAGGCTGGCAGGTAGTGATGTACCATGGGCCACAAGCTACTGCTTGGCTTCTCTGCCCCCAGCCTTGGCAGGGCTGCCTTGGCATGGAGGATGGCTCCTGTAAGCCCACAGTGAGTACTGGGCAGCCCCATGGGTGTCGTTGGCCAGCACCGCACGCGTGCAAGGGGTGGGCAAAAGGCGGCACCTCCCTGGCATTTTCTCAGCCAAATAGTATTGAAACAAGGTTAGCCTCACTCGGAAAACGCGTGCGTCTTGCTGCTGCACAGCTGTACTCCATCCTGGGCAAGCGCCAGTGCCTTCTCTGCCCTGTGACTGACCTCCCAGGTGGCTGTGGCTGTGGCAGGGCAGAGGCTGTGGGTCCAGCTGCTTTCAGCTGTAGCCTTGGATATGGAAGTCCTCTGAGGGAAATGCCCCAGAGTAATGGTCATATTGGCACCATGTTCTTCCAGTGACCTGGCCTTGGCTGTCCATGGCTGGACCCAGGCTCCAAGCACCTGTCCCCATGCTGTTGGCATGTGGGAGCCTGCCCGTCCCAGGCAGTGTTGCTGTGGTGGGGGTGGCCGGGGCTGGGGCAGGTCGTGCTTGGTGGAGTTGTCCACCCTGCCTGAAGGGCCTGGACGGCTGGCGGCTGCTGTGGGAGTGGCTGTGGTTGTGCCTGGGGTGGGAGGTGACGCTGCTGGACCTTGTCTTGCACCTGGGAGCGGCTCTGTACACAGCGGCTCTGCACACACCGCTCCAGCAAACGCCCGCGGGGAGGGAGGGGCGTGTTGGTCAGAGCGCAGGGAAAGTGAAGCCAAATAACAGGAAACCCTTCCTGGCAGCACAGACTGCATGGGACAGCTGGAGCAGGGCAGCCTGCGCAGAGCATGCCCACTGCTCCCCCCAGGGTCCCCGACCCAGCAGGGAGGTCCCTTCTGCCTGGTGGTGCCAAGCTGGTGGCTTGGGACTGTCACCCCACCCTGTGCACTGGCAGCTCTGGGTTAACCCAGGGGCAGCTGATGCCCTGGTCCTAGGCCCCTGGGGACCCATGGGAATGCTGCCCTGGGGAGCAAGGGGACAGGCGATGATCAGGGCAGCTTGTCCCAAAGTGGTTTTTCTCTGGCAGCCATGCAGTGAAGTGCCTGGCTCCTCTAGCAGGCTCTGGTCCCATGTGCCCTTGGGGCCGGCCACCCCGGCTTCGCATGCAGGCAGGGGGGCAGGAGCCCGTGGCAGAGGTCGGGGGGCCAGGGAGCATGTCTCAGTTGGATGTGAGCAGTTGGGAGCAGGAGAGGAGGCCCGTGGGGCCGTCTCTGAGAAGTGTGTTCCCTTCCATGCTGGGGCTGCCTCTTCCCCCTGGTCCCTGCCAGCTGGGGTGGGAAGGGCTTGGTGGTGCTCCACACAGGATCAGCCCCATCCAAACCCCCGGACTCATCTTTGTCTGACTTGGCCCTAGAACTGGTCAGTCAACCCTGCAGCCTTGTAGCTGTGCTCAGCACCTGAACCTGCCCCAGACAGAGCAGGGGGATGTGGGCTGCCAGTGTCCTGCTGCTGCAAGAGTCCATAATGTCCTAGAGCCCTGGTGTTGGCAGGGTCCCGCATAGTCGCATCCAATCCAGGCCCTGCCTGAGTAGGAAATACCCCGTCCAAACCAGCCCAGGCAAACCCCATGTCCAACCTTGGAGCCACACGACACAGTCACTTCTCACAGCCCCAGGCATCACCCCGGCCCCCAGGAAAGCAGGGGGCCATGGCCACCAACATCCTGCTGCTGTCAGGGGGGTCATGGACACTGCAGAGAGCCCAGGCCCAGGCCGTGCCCCCCTGCAGAGGAAGGCAAAGCCTCCCAGTCTGGACCAGTCTGAGCAGGGGGCAATCCCTTCCTGCCCCAGTGCAGCGTTAGGCTGAGCCTGAGCGCAGGGGCAAGACCCTCCAGCCAGGACCCTGCAGGGTTGGTGCCAGCAGGAGCATTGGCACAGCCCAGCCCCATCCCCAGCCTGACCTGCAGCCAGCACCCAGCTCTGCTGAGGAAGAAGGAAAACCCCTGATCCCTGGACTAACGGGGTAGCTGTGGCGCGTGCATTATCCTCTTGCATGGCATTAGTGAAAGCACTGCTGCATCCATGTGCTGCAAAAGAGCCAGGGTGGGAGGTTGCTGCCAGCAGAGGGGTGATGAGCTTTGCTGGAGCAAGAACAAGCAGGGCAGGCTCGTGGCTGACCTCTCCCCCGTCCCTGCGCAGCCAGGCAGAGCTGGTGTGTGAGGCCTGTGGCCCTGGCAGCTCGTGGCTTGTGGGCTGTCGAAGCCTCCTGTGCCCATGGTGCCAGGCACCGATGCTCGGCTTTCCCTGGCCAACTCTGCCTGTCACCTGAACTGCGTGGGGTGCGGCACTTGGGCACGGCTGACTGCCCGCCCGGCTCAGTGCCAGCGCGGCCCAGTTCCAGCACAGCCATTCCTGGCGTGTCTCTGACTTCTGGGCACAGGGGCTGCCGGCTCCTCGGTGCCCAGACAAAGGCAGCAGTGTGCTCCTGTGAAGGCTGGGCACCCGGGGGTGTTGCCTGCAGGGGGCTGCAACAAGGGCCTTGTGTGTGGGCAGGCCTGGTTGCAGCAATTGGCCTTTGTGCATCTGGGGTTTGCCAGCAATGCCAGGAACAGCTCGAGAAGCTGTTTGTGCCTCTGGGCTGGGGCTGGGGATGGGCTCTGCAGCTGCTCTGCTTCTGGGGAGGGTGCTGTGGGCAGGCGGTGGGGGTGGGCTTGCGGGGCTGGGCAGGAAGAAGGGCAGGAACCCCCATTCAAGGAGTCCCCACAAGCGAGAACAGCACCTGCTGGGCTGTGGTGGTGCCGGGCACATGGAGACTCGGGCTAGTTTGGACAGGGCTGATCCTGCCTCAGGCAGGGCTGGGACTAGATGAGCTCTCCCTTCCAGCCCCACTTCTCTATGACTCCGTGATCTGCTTGGTGTGTCTCTGCTGGGGTTGGTGGAGCTGGTTGCTGCATCTCACTTCCAGCATGGCCAACCCTTAGCACCCAGCCTCTCCATCCCAGGCAGGATGTGCCCGCCGGGAGTAAAGATGCCTGGGCCTTTGTCAGCCGGCCCAGGGCTGTGCCACGCTCACAGAGGGCCTTGCCAGGCACCACACTTCCCAGGGATGCCAACACGGGGCAGGGATGTTGCAGCCACCTGTTTGCTCTGCACTGGTCATAGCCCATATTGGCCCCTCGTCCTCTCGTGGGGGCCAGGTGCTGGCCTCGCTTGCCTGCTGCGCCCAGGTCTGCCTCCCTGTTCTTGCCCTTCATTGTCAGATGCTTCTTTCTTCTCCAGAGCCTCCTGCTGCTTACAGGAGTTGTTAAAAAGTCCCCTCCATCTTTTGTGGTCTGGGAGTTGTGGCTGCAGAGCCAGGCTGACTTAGCCACGCGGGCAGCCAGCTGGGCCTGGGGTCCCAACGGGGTGCAACAAGATGAAATACGGAAGTAGCAGGAGCCTTAAGCTGCCCGGGAGTCCTTTCCGAGGGGGGCCAAAGCCACATCGATCTGGTCTCGCTTCCTGCTTCATGCAAACGAATGAAGCATAGGACACAACTGCATGCTGCAGCTGTCCTGCTGCTGCCGTCTGAGCTGGCGTGGGGCAGGGAGGGCACTGGGTGTGAAAAGCCTCACTAGGCGGGAATCCATCACTGCTCTAGGTGCTCCCAGATGGAGGCAGGGGGACCCTGCAGTCACAGCCCAGGCTATGGCTGGGTGGCAGTGCTCTAGGCCCTTCTGACCTCAGTGGGCAAGGCAATGCCTCCATGTCCCAGAGCCGAGAGCTCCCTTCCTGACCCGCGTCTCCATCATTGAGTCCAGGGCTTCTGGGCTTTGGGGGCTGAGCTGATGGCATGTGCTCCAGCAGGGCCACTGCCCCACAGAGGTCTCCACCCCTGTTCACACCAGGGAACAAGCCGTGGCTGTGTGGGTGTCTGCACAGAGCCCTGCAGAGCCGGGTCGCAGTCTTGTCCTGCCCTGCTTTCGCGTGTCTCCAGGCGGGTCATCTGCTCTCCATTCCTTGGTCGTGCTGTGATGGGAGCCACATCTCCCTGCACGGCACAGATTAAATCGATCGGTGCCTGCCGGGCCTCCGGGCACCGTGGTGACAAAGAGCTGTGTACATCTTGGAGAGGTGCTGGCTGTGATCCAGACAGGGGCTTGGCAGCTTGCTCTGCTGACATCGGTGTCTGGCATTGAGCTGAGTGTTTCCTGAGCTCCGGATCTTCAGCTGTGGGGAAGCCAGGCCTCACGTTTCTGAGGTTGCTGATCTGCTTCCCAGTACCTGGACACCCAGCCAAAGGTCTGCCAAGGTCCAGAAGGTCCTGTGGGAAGCCAGAGACTTGGGAGCAGCCTGGTTGGGAAGAGCTCTGCTGCTTGGGAGGGACCAAGACCTCCAAAGGGTCTTGCATTTAAATGTGGACATCCAAGCATGGCTGGACCAAGCATGGAGCCTCAAAACCATCAGGTGCCAGCAGGCCTCAGGGCTCCTGGGGCAGGGAAACAGCTGACAGCTGAAGCGAAAGAAGTGCAGATTGGAAATGGGTACGGAGAGAGCATAGGGTGGGCATCTGTCATTGGCAGTCTCTAAATGGTCCTGGGTGTCTCCGAGAGATGCCACGATTCAAGCAGAGCTCTTCCAGGGAGTGGTGGGGATGGCCTGTGGCCTGTTCCTGTGCAAGAGGCCAGGTTAGGTGACTGCAAGAGTCCTGAACGCCTAGGAGCTGCTGACTAGTCCTCTCCCTTGACCCACGTTGTGTTTGCTGAGGGTGCAGGGTCCTGCCTGAGTTCTCATGCCAGTTTGCATTTGTGAATGTGCCCATGGCCTGGACGAAACCCTACACGGCTGCTCTTCCTGGGGGGCAGGGAGGAGGTGACCTGAGCCCAAGAGAAGGGTTGTTCGAGGGCTCCTTTGATGCTCAATTAGTGACTCTGCCAGGCTCACACCCAGTGCCTGGGCTTGTAGATGTTCCCCCACAGACCAGGCCAGGAGCTGGTGCCTGCTTTCTCTGCCCCCTCCCTGCAGCGTCCAGATTGCAGCTGCCTCCAAAGGGGGCTGGGCTGCTCCACCCTAGCAGGTGCAGCCACAGAATGGCTTGTGGCATGTGGCAGCGCTTCAAACAGCCCCACAGCAAGTCCTATGGAGGGGGAGCTGGAGCAGGCAGCTGGGCGCGGAAGCAGCCAGGCACTGTCTGTCTGGGGTTGCAAAGCATGCGTGCGAGGGGAAGCCGCTGGGGTTGCTGCATTCTGGCCTCTAGAGCTCCAAATAGTCAACCTCACACCCTGCCTCGCACCTCTGCGTGCGGCTTTAAGGGTGGTTCGCAGGGAAGAAAACAGCAGAGCCTGTTTTTAGCTTCTGCTTCTTTGCAAAGACCTCCCGAGAGCACCTCTTACATCTCAGAAACATCCAGAGCTTCTTGTGCTGGAGGGTCCCTTGGGGAAACATGGCCTCAGGAGAGACTGAGGCTGGAGCGCTGCAATGGGGCAGCTGTTAGAGAGACTGTATGATGCTCACTTGTCTGTGCAAGTCCCTGACTGCCTGAGCCCACGGAGCCAGGTTGGAGCAGGCTTGAAGTCTGACTGGTCCATGGCTGTGACCAGTATGAGGTGCTCGAGAGGAGGGTGGGAGAGCCTTCGAGTAGACAGGGGGGTTTAACTTTGGGGCCTCTTTGGGATCTTGTGTCATTCTTCACTTTGGTGGCTGCCCATGGCTGAGGATTTCTCTGTCTAATCCCGCGTCAGGTGACAGTTATTTGCATGCTGAATTTCCCACTGTTAGACTCTGCTGTGGCCGTTCCTTCCCTGTGCCCAAGATGTCCTGCTCTATTATGTCTCCTCACAAAGTTTCTTCAGTTTCTGAAT